ACCAGGAGCCGTAGGCGGCGTGGGCCACCTCGAGCGGCGGGTGGCACCAGTCGCCCGGCGCGTGGCCCTTGGTGGCCACCACGAGCGGCTCCTGGGCGGGCGGCGCCGCGAAGGACGGCGCGAAGGGGCCGTAGTCGGGGCCGTAGGTGCCCGCGGGCGCCTGGGGGCTGGCGGACGGGGACAGCAGCCCCGGGGCGCTGGGGAAGGCGGCGGCCGCCGCCGCGTACGAGTCACCCATGGGGGCCCGGCGGCACCGGCGGCGGCGTCAGCGGGGACGGGCGCTCGGGGCCATGGTGCCTGCGGGGAGAGGAAGAGCGCGTTGGGGGGGCTGGGGGGTGCAGGGGCGCGCCCTGGAGCCCGGGCAATGGGGCGCATGGAGCAGTGGGGCTCGCGGAGCAATAGGGTGCCCAAAGCAATGGGGTGCCCCATGCAATGGGGTGCCTGGAGCAAGGCGGTGCCCCATGAATGGGGTACCTGATATAATGGGGTATCCAGTTCAATGGGGTCCCCTGTGCTATGGGGTGCCCTGTGCAATGGGGCACCCTGTGCAATGGGGCGTTCGGAGCAAGGAGGTCTCCTCTGCAACAGGGCGCCCTGTGCAATGGGGTGCCTGGTGCAATGGGGTACCCAGAGCAATGGGGTCCCCTGTGCAACGGGGCACCCTGTGCAGTGGGGCAGGTGGAGCAACGGGGCACCCCATGCAGTAGGATGCCCAGAGCAATGGGGCACCCCATGCAAAGCAGCCCCCAGCCCCAGCAGCCCCCCGCCATGGGGCACCCCACAGTAGCAGCAGCAGCGTCGCGCTCCAGGAGCCTTGAGGCGAGAGATGCTCTGAGGGCCAATACTGGGGTTGAGCGGAGCCCCGCGCAGCTCCTCCGGCCTCCCCCTGTTCCCAATCCCGGCTCCTTCTGCCTTTATGGCCTTTTAATCAGATTAGGTTGTGGCCTCCCCCCTTCCCGCTCCCTCCGCGACTTCCTCCCCTTTTATTCCCTCCCTGGGCTCATGCGCCGGGGGCTGAGACCGAGCGCCACGAGCTGCATCCCCCCGTTCACAACCCCCATACAATTTTTTTTTAATTATGATCATTTTCCCCTTTTCCCCCCTAATTTGCAGCTTTTCCATTTTTTCCCCCTTTTTCCCTGAGCCGCTATTTTTTTTTTCCTGTCTTTCCTTTTTTCGCTCTGCGCCTATTTTTACCCGGGCTGCGGCCGCGGCCGCAAGGCGCTCCCGGCCCTCCAAGGATAACAAGGGCCAGGCCTGTGCCCCGGGAACGCTGCCCTGCCGCGAGAGCCGCCGTAATTAAAACCAGGGCGAGCGTCTAACGGAGACGCGCTTAAAATAGTGTAAACGGCCCATAAATCAGCACCGCTTGTGCCGGTAAATTAGGGACCGGGCAGGCGCCCCCGCCCCCAATTCCATCTTTTTCCGCCCCCGAAAGAGCCGGGGACCAGGCTGAGAACGGCTGCAGCTCAGTGCACTGGTGGCAGCGGCAGTGACGCTGCGGGGGTGGGAAGGGACCTGGCGGCTGCGGCTGGACCCTAATTAGACACCGGAGAAGCCGCTCGGCCCCATTGAGCCCGGGCCCCGTCCCAGCAGTGTGGGGGGCGCGGGGACCCAGCGGTCCCAAGCTCCGTCCCGGCTCCGTGAGTCCCAATCCCTGATTTCTCAGTCCCGCTCCCCTGTCCCAGCCCCGCTCCCCAATTCCCATCTCCTATTTCCAGTCCCCTATCCCAGGCCCACTCCCCAATTCCCAATCCCCCATCCCAGCTCCCCATCCACAGTAGCCGCTCCCCAGCCCTGCATCCCTCATGCCCCTTTCCCAAGCTCCTGATTCCCGGTACTCAAAGCCCCATCCCAAATTCCCCATCACCAACATTGGTCCCGAGGCCCCAATCCCCCATCCCTGCATCCCTCTCCCTTCTCCATGGTCCCTCATTCCCCATTCCTGGTCCCCAGTCCCTGAGCCAGGTTCCCAGTTCCCAATCTCTCCTTCCTGGTTCCCAATCCAAATCCCCGGTGCCCTATTCCCAGTCCCTCATTCCCGGTCCCCAGCCCCCATTCCCGCCGGTGTCCCCGCTCCCGGTGCTCGCGCGGTGCAGGGGACGCAGGGTGGAGGTGGCCCTTGGCCCTCTCCCCTCCCTGGGGACACCAAGAGTTTCCCCAGCCCCAGCCGGTCCCCAGGGTCCCAGGGGACAATGAGGACCCGGTTCCCTGCAGGAAGGGGGACACCGGGTCCCCGTCCCCGCTGTGTGCTGGGGACAGAGGTGTCCCCATGAGCAGGTCGGGGGGTGCCGCAGCCCTGGGGACACCCGTGTCCCCATGGGACATCGCAGGGCACCGCGTCCCCACCGGCAGCTCCTGGCGTTTGTGACCCGGGTGGTCCCGGGACACGGGGCCCTGGGGACAGATGCGTCCCCTGCAGCAGGTCCCCGTGTCCCCCCTCCACTGCAGCCGGGGGTCCGGGTGGCAGCGGTGGCTGGGGGGGGCCATGGGGACACCCGTCCGGAACCACCACGTCCCAGGCCAGCACCCGGACCCCTGGGTCCTCTCCAGCCTCTGAACTTGGGGGGGCTCCTCCTTTTGGGGGGTCCCATTCCCAAGGGGGGTCCTCTATCCCGGGGGGAGTCCTTTCCCAGGGGATTCCCTAACCCGAAGTGTGTATGGGGGGGTCCTTATTCCCGCGGGGAGAGTGGTTCCTATTCCTGAAGGGGGGACCTTGTCCTGGGGTCCCTGTCCCGGAGGACTCTCTATCCCGGGGAGGGGGCGTTCCTATCCTGGGAGCCCCTATCCTGAGGTTCCCTCTCCCAGGGGATCCCTATCCCGGGGGCGGGGGGAGGTTGTCCCTATCCCAGGGGGTCCCTGTCCGGGGAATCCCCATCCCGGAGGCTCCCTGGTCCCTTGGGAGGGCGGGGGGGGCTGTCCCGCCTCTCGAGGCGCCCCGGGCTCCCTACCGCGCTCCGGGGCTCCGGGGGCGCCGCTTCCCGGGGCTGCCGCTTCCCGGGGGCTCCGGGGCTGCCGCTTCCCGGGGCTGCCGCTTCCCGGGGGCTCCGGGGCTGCCGCTTCCCGGGGGTCCCGGCGCTGCCGCTGTCCGCGGGCT